CGATCCTCGCGAGCCTGTCACTTTGAGGGTTTCGGGTTTCAATGGGACCCTAAACCCTAAACCCTAAACCCTAAACCCTAAACCCTAAACCTTAACCGAAGGTTGACGGTTTGGGGATAAGGGTTCAGGGTTGAGGGTTTAAGGTATCGGTCCGGCCAATTATAAGAAGCCTTTATAGGCTCCGTAGAATTCTGCTATAACGTATCCGAAACCTGCTCTGATCCTTAAGGCCCCTGTTTCTCATGCTGCTCTGCTCGGGCCCTCCGCTGGGATGAAGGATCTGAGTACAAGCACAAATGAAAGCTTTGAGCTTTGCTTGGGATCCTTCGGATTTGCCGAATCCAATTCCAACGAAGACCAAGTTCCCGGTCTGATCCTGGGCCATGACCGTCACCGGCCTCCTCCAGAAGGTCAGCAGCAGTCGTGTTTAATCTTCATGATTAAACTAGCGCTTAGGGATATGCTGTACGATAGCTACAGATAGTTAGATAGGGACTATAATGGGGATACTTTGGCTGATTACCGTCGCCTTATCAGCGGTCGGATGCACATAAGAGTCCAGAGGGTTAGGGAGTAGGTCTTTAGTGGATTGGTCGTGGGCGTTCGGGATCAGGGCTCACGGTTGCGTTGCAACCCGGAATCCCTGACATAACTGTAGCACAGTCTTCCTCAAAACTCGATTTTTACTGATCAAGGCCCCTATTCCCCAAACCCTATACCCTAAACTCTAAACCTTAAACCCTGGACCCCAAACCCTAAACCCTAAACCCTAAACCCACCCCAAATCCTATAGTAAGCGTTGATGCAATTGGATTTGCCAGGTCCGGTTCGTCTCGGGGGAAGAAGTCCAAGAGGCGGGAAGGGGCATCCTTCCGGTTGGGAGTCTTAGGGTTTAGGGTTTAGTCCTTCCGGTTGGGAGTCTTATCTTAAGCATAATATATACGATAAGGTCATCTCATAGGATATGACATAATGTAAAATTATACACTGTGATAAGTTAATGTAATATAATATGAGGTAGTACAATGCAAGACCACAGAATTCAAAAGAATACAACATAAAGCAATATAATACAATATAGCACAACAGAATACAATACGGTGTAACTTAATATTACATTACATTGTATATACTATGTTATATCTTATAATACCAGAGCTCACAATATACCATATCGTATGTTGTATGTTATGATATGTTTAAAGTTTGGGAGGCAGCATAAGCATGTGACTTGAGAATTTCTGACTTGCGATTCCTGGGGACTCGATGCAACAAGCGCATCGGGTGCGACAGGAACTTGATGTTGGCTTGCCGATATGATCTTGGAAGCCCAAAGCCAGGCGGTATGAAGCAGCTCTCTATGGGGTGTCGATTCTACGGGTATCTATCCGAAAGGCGCCCCGGTCCAAAGCCCCTCATGTCAAACAAGACCCTAAACCTTATATAGCCCAAAGTCCAATGCCTGGATCCAGCCAGACCCAGGATGTTGACTGTAGTTACCAGCATGAAAGCTATGTAACTCTACCTAGGTCCACGGGAATGGGGAGCTCTGAACCAACTGCTTGCGCCCGCTTGCCCTGAGATGTCAGGCTCAGGCTTTCGTTTTAGGGTACATGTCAAGGGCTCTGGGTTCCAGGGTCTAGGGTTATTAGGGTTCAGGATGTCAGGTCACATGAGTCACAACGTGCCAATTGGTGTGGATACTATCGGGGTCTTGATCGTGTAGTGATAACTTGCCCTCGTAGTCCCTAACATACATGTGCTCCCCAATATAATTGCAGTTGTGTATTCATTGTAGTTTGGTATAACCTCACAGCCCTGTTCTGATTACTGAGGCCCCTATATCAAGTTGGCCTTGCAGCCCTGGAAACCTCTATGCTAGATCCATCATCAACCCTGCACCCGAAATCTGAAACTCCTAAACCCTTAAACCCACCCTTGCAGCACCCGCTTTCGTAACCCTTCTCGTGCCCCTTCAGCAACCCCTATAACCCTCAACCCTAAACTCCGCTCAGGTCCGGCAAGTCCGACTCCAGGTCCTCTCCCAGCGAGAGGCCCTCGGAGAAAATTCCGTCATTTTGGTCATCGGCGAAAAATGGTGCGACTACACCCTAGGGTTTAGGGTTTAGGCGTTATGCAGGGTTATAGCCAAAGAGAAATCTGGTACCATTACACCACTATTCAGGGTTATAAGCAAACTGAAAATGGTACCATTACGCCATGATTAAGGGTCATAAGCGATAAGAAGATGGTGCCATTACATCACTACTAAGGCTTAGCAGCAACAAGGAGATGGTATCATTAGGCTATCAAGTTATTGAGGGTTACTTCGGAACTTGGCACGGTTCAGGATTAGGTTCTTCGGTGCCACAGGACTTGGGGTCTGGGCCTCAGGGGCTTTGGGTTTTTTCAGCATGGGGTTAAGGAGTTAGGGGTTTGGTGATACTGCCTTGAGCTTATGTTTAAGGTTTATGGGTGTAGGGCCTGGGATGGGTGTTTATTAGTTCAGGATGTGCCGCTTGATGTAGAAGGTTCCCGAAGCTGTGTTTCTCGGGCCACATGTCTCAGCACTTTACAGCAACAGCAGCAGAAGCTGCAGCAGCCGCAGGAGTCCCAGTGAGAGTCGGAGTAGGAGCAGGAGGAGTANNGTAGTGGTAGTGGTAGTAGGAGTAGTAGTAGTAGTAGTAGTAGTAGTAATAGTAGTAGTAGCAGTAGTAGTAGTAGTAGGAGGAGGAGGAGTAGGTGTAGGTGTAGGTGTAGGAGGAGTAGTAGGAGTAGTAATAGTAGCAGCATCAGCAGAAGTAGTAGTAGTAGCAGCAGCAGTAGCACTAGTAGTAGTAGTAGTAGTAGTAGTAGTAGTAGTAGTAGTAGTAGTAGCAGCAGCAACAGTAGCAGTAGTAGTCGTGGTAGTAGTAGTGGTCGTAGTAGTAGTAGTAGTAGTAGTAGTAGTAGGAGGAGGAGGAGGAGGAGGAGGGGGAGTAGCCGCAGCAGTAGTAGCAGTACTAGAAGTAGTAGCAGTAGTAGCGGTAGCAGTAGCATTAGTATCAGTAATAATCAAAGTTATTTTTTACTAATAACAACTTAAACAATAGCAATATAGAAACGATTAGCAGTACTAGCGATAGTACTCGCAACAATAATCATCATAGTAGTAGTCGTCGTCGTCGTCGTCCTGGTGGTGCCTAGCGGTAGCCGCATTAGTCGGAAGAGGCCGTCGTTTGCTCTTCCTTTCTCTAACGGCCTGAATGTTAGGCTCCATATTCTAGCCTTATTGACGGGAGGGAACGTGTACTAAATGCGGGTCTGCTTTGTTATCACTTAGGATCCCCCGGTTTAGCTCAGGCTGGCGTGGGTGTTTATGGGTTCAAGGTTTTGGCTGGGGGGTTCTCGGCGTTCAAGCTGTCCATGCCTACAAAGGCGAGCTGTGGCCACTTCTACCATGATACACACTTCCAAGTCTCTTCTAGTAACTTACTGATGCGCATTTGCTACCGCTCTGAAGCGAGAAGCGCCTTTCCGGCTCTCTTCAGCAGCTTTCTCCCCCAGCTCTTGTCCGTTTGATTCCTGAATGTTCCTTTCCAACAACTCTAGTGTAGAATACCAGCAAAAACGGTGCTCGAAAATTACCATCAGCAGGCTACACGCTTTGAAAGGGCTAAGTCCAGAAAGCACTGTCCCTAAAACTCAGTGCAGGTCGGGCGACTCGCGATCCAGGAGACACAGGCATCGAGAGAAGCAGCGCGACAAGGAGGCGCGGGCATGTCGAGCAGGACAACAAGAACAGCTATCATGTAGGTTGACAGCCGTGAGGAACATAAGCCCTAAACCCCTAAACCCTGAACCCTAACCCCTAAACCCTTTTCTAATGCACAGGTAGAAAAACCCGCAACTTTGCAGGCGAATGCCAAAGTACAACAACCTCATCTGGAGCAGGATCTCAGTTCGGCTAAGCCTTCAGAGAGCTTAGCTTTGAGAAGCCACGGATGTACCTCTAGGGTTTAGGCTTTAGAGCACAGGGTGTGGTCTTGGGAGTAAAGCTCGTCTTGACACGTGAAGATCCGTACTGCGTTCTCCATATTGCATGTATGACGGTCACGACTGCGGCTCCTACTTCTGTTGACTCGCGTTAATGTCTAGTTAGTCAGGGTTACAATTGGGATCCAAATGTTAGGAGGTCATTACAGAAAGGGTGTTAATCCATCAGGGGTCTACAGTGCCTATGGTCAATGATGGTCAATGTCTCTATTCTGTCATTAACTTCAATGTGCTTTGGATCTCCGCAATGAGGGCCAAACCCTGTGATCGCTGACTCGGCCCGAAACTTCGAACCTCCACGAAGCCTATGCCGAACGAACGGAAACTGTAGCCCCAAAGTACCCTTCCCAACGCGCATGCCCAGCCCTGAGACGTCATAACCCTTTCCCTGAACCCTACTGTAAACCCTGGACCCCCAAACTGTCAAGCCCCCGCTCCTGCACTTCCGAGCCCTAAGTTCTACAGCCCACGAGCTTCATGTGGCTTGCGTTCTAGGGTTCAGGGTTGGGGGTTTAAATCAACTTTCGGTTCAGTAAACCTCGAAGCTTCCGACCTGCGACGCCACGAATCTCAAGGAACAGAGGCTTAGCTTCCGACCCCATCGGCAGGCAGCCTATCCTAAGCCGAAATCCCAGACTCTATAAGACCCAGAACTTCATGTCTGGTAGGCGAAGGGCTTAGGGTTTCAACAGGGCCCCGAGTGGTTCAGTAGCATTATTTAGCAGCTGTTCTGGAAAGCAAGTAGTCGGTCGGAAGGCACCAATGATGTCCGGGCTGTAGAACAGAACCTGCAGTAGCTGCACAGATGCGTCAGACAGGTAGGACAGCCGCTCGTATGTTCTGACATAGCAACAAGGTCAGTCATCACTACAAGTGCTATCATAGCAGCACAAAGGTAGGCAGCGGCACGCTTGAAAAAAAAATGCAAGACAAGAAAAACTCTATCAGTCTAGAACCCCCCGCTCATGGCAGCATTTTCGCTGGGTGGCATTGCTGGGTTCATGGGCCAGCATATGTGCCTTTGCGGGTCAATCGCTGGTGTATTTGTTGTCTGTGAAAGGTTCAGGATTTCTGATGGCAGTAAGACTCCGTAACTACAATTTCAACAACCTTGAAAAGCCTTCACCCTCAACCCTAAACCCCAAACCCCAACCCAAAAGGCCTCAACCCTAAACCCAAATCCAAACAACAACGCTTCTCTAAACCCCTGAACCCCTCAACCCTGAACAGTTTAGGCTTTAGGGTAGGCCCCTCAACCCTTCAACTCTCAACCCTAAATCCCAAACCCTAAATAAGCCCCTAGACTTTAATGAGCCCAAGTACAAGCAGGAACAGCCTTCCACCGTAAAGCCCCGAAATCCTTCAACTCGGGGCCCCTCTCTTTACCCTGTCACAGGGGTTAATGTGTGGGGTTTAGGGTTTATAGGGGTTAGTGTTTGGGGTTCAGGGTTTAGGGGTGGATGTTTGGGGTTTATGGTTTAGGGCTTAATGCTTCGGGTTTTCGTGTTTAGGGTTTCGGCTGGGGTTTTACGGTTTTGCGGGTTTTAGGGTTTAGGTTTTTGGTATGGCAGCCTGGCAGGCTTAACGGTTAACATAGGGCTTCTATATGGGTTCTTGAGCGGATTCTATAAGGGTTGCTATAAGGGCTTGGACGGGTCTGGTATAGGGAGAATCAGAATGATTAAGCCCCATGCCGAAGGCGCATTCCCCGAGTCCTACACCCTCAAACATAAGACCCATGTTTAGGGTTTAGGGTTTTTGTTTGTAGGGTTTAGGGTTTAAGACCCTAAACCGAAAACCCTAACCTGAAAACGCGAAACCCACTGAACATCCAACCCCGAAACCTTTGCACACAAGTTGCTTTGGAGTCCAAGCGCTCGAGGCAGGTTGACGACTTCAATTTTGGCAGTCGTAGCTGTGACATGAGTTTTTGGTAGGGTGTTCGAAGAGATCCCATTTCCCCCGAAACATTGGCATTGGCAATCCCTTGCAACCCCTAACAACTGCAAGCCCTCAGACCCTGAAAGCTGCAAGCAGCAAAGCAAGGCCTGGACCAGAAATGCAACCCTCTTCACAGGTAGTTGGAGTTCCTTCTTTCGCGAAAACGCCTCACAGCCCTAAGCCCCCAACCCGAACATCCTCCTGGGCCATCTTAAGCCCCAACATCACAAGAGGCCCTTCCAGCCCGAAGAAAAAGGCAGCTTGAAGCCCTCAGAAGGCTGGTTTTTGCAAGCTCCAAGGTACCTCACGGCCATCTCGCTCTGCTTCCTGATCGGCTTATCCCTAGGGCTTCTGGGGAGCGGCGGTTCCATCCTGACGTTGCCGATCCTGGTGGGCTCCCCTTAATTTGGGAGTCTATGCTGCTAAAGGGTAAGGGGTCTACTTTTTTGGATCCTCCCCGCGGGCCTGTGTTTCGGTGATCAGGTTTGCTAGAAGTTTAGAGATTAGGCTTAGGGTTTTGGGTTGAGAGAGGTGTGGGGATTGGGGTTTAGGACCTCGGGTTTACGATTGAGAGAAGTTCAGGGATTTGGGTTCAATTAGCGTTCAAGGTGTAAGGAATAGAGACCCTGTTTTGGTGATTGAGAGTTAGGAGTTTATGGGCTTTGGATTGGTGTTTGCGTTTTCGGAATTTGTAGAGTCAAGGAAATACCTAAACACGACATTGCATCCGCTTCAGAGCGTATCTACTTCTCCTCCCAGTAAGAGGGGTCATCTCAGAGACATCCCAAGTCAAGGCTTTGTAAGGCTCTACTAGAACCTTCTGAACCCCTGAGTCCCTAAACCCGAAACCCCAAACCCCTAAAGCCCTTAAAGTCCCTAAGCCTTTCTAAACCTTCTAGCAAAGCCCTTGTACCCCTTGCAAGAGCTAGCAGCCAGAAGTTCGGAAGCCCGAATCGTTGGCTTATGAACGTGCCGACTGGCCCCCCTACACGCTAAGCTTCATAGACCCAACGTAAAGCGGCCAGCAGAAAAGATGCTGGATAGATCTTGGTAAGGACCAAAAAAAGATGAATAGGTGACTGTCAATAAAGGGTCACCCCATCCCAGAACAGCCCGGAGGCCGCCCCCCTTCCAAAAAAAATAATGCCGAAAGGTGTACTTGCTGAATGTGGAGGCGAAAGAGGCCATCGCCATGTCCCTCGTGGTCGTTGGCATTACCAGCTTCTGGGATGTCCATCCATGTTCGGGGTCGGGCTTAGGGTTTCCAGGTTTAGGCTTTGGGGTTTTAGAGTTTAGGGTGATGGGTTCATATAGGGTCTAGGGTTTAGGCTTTGGAGTTTCGGGTTCAGGCTTTGGGGGTTTAGGCTTTGGAGTTTAGGGTTTAGGCTTTGGGGTTTTAGGGTTTAGGGTCAGGGGCCGGGTTCAGGGTTTAGGCTTTGAAGTTTAGGGTTTAGGGTCATGGGTTTGGGTTTAGGGATTAGGCTTTGGGGTTTAGGGTTTAGGCTTTGGGGAACTGCGGTTTGGGGTGATGGGTTTAGGGTTTAGGGTGATGGGTGGGTCAAGGATTGGGCACCGGGTTTCTGGGCGCTGGCTTTAGATTTTGTGGCCGAGGCTTCGATACCAAAGTTCCTAACCCCGACAACGTAGACCCTAAACCTGAACGCGAAAGCCCACAAGGGGAAGAGCCTCTAACCCTAACTGCAAAGCCCAAAACGCAAAAAATCTGAAGCCCCAAAGCCGTAACTGCCAACGCCTCAAAAGGGGCGGATCTGAAATCCCAAGGCCCTAGCATCCTCTGCCGACATCCAAGCGCCTCCCAAGCATCTCACGAGATTTCAATCAGCCAGCAGGATTTGAACAGGATTTAGGCTTTCGAGGTTTCCATTTTAGGGTTCAGGATTCTTGAGGCTCCTTCGCGCTGATTGCGCATGCCTGCGCTGGCAACGTCGACTGGAAGGTGGGTGGCATCTTCGGCGTCGCCGGGATGGCCGGGGCGTACGTGGGAGGCATCCTGGCCGGTTTCGTGCCCGAGCATGTCTTGCTCTGCCTCTTCGCCACTTGGTGAACCTGGAAGTGTGCGGGGGCCCCTAAATTTACATCTTATAAACCCGTCCAGTAAATCCATAAGCCTTGAACCCTAAGCTCGAAGCTTAGTTGTTTAGGATTTGCTGGCAGGCGCTCATGACCCTGGCAACCGCGATAGCAATGCTCTACAAGGACAACAGAAGTCCTCCATCTGCATATCAGCCGGTCGCAAACGACTCTAACGAGGAGGCGCAACTAAGCAAGGGCGTGAAGGATTCGGACAACTCGGATGGCGAGAATTTCGTCAAGTTGGAAGACTTGCCTTTGTGGCACATCGTCGTGGAAGGTCCGCCCTGAGCACTAAGACCTTTCTCCCTTAAAGCCCCTAACATACCGAAACTCCCTGAAAAACGACAAGAACAGCTAGAAGCCTAAACGCCGCAAGTATCTTAAAATCCTTAGGAGCCCTAAAGGTTTTGTGGTTGGCCTCGTCACTGGCATGGTGGGTGCTGGTGGTGGCTTCCTGGTGGTGCCTGCCTTGAACCTGATGGCCGGTCTACCCATGTCATTTGCTTAGTCAGGCTTCTGATGTATTTAGGGTTTAGGGTTTAGGGTTTAGAGACTACAGGGGCCTGCATAGTTACCAAGTTGATCACCTAGGGTTCCTTCTTCTAGCTAGAGTATCATCTACCCCACCACCCTGTTTCAATAGTTAGGCACCCATGTTTCTGATTTTGAGGCTTTAGGGTTTTAGGGTGGTTGGTAATCGTGAGGGAAACATAAGTCAGTGTTCTCAAGAGTTCTGAAGGGTTTACAAGTGGTCTTGTAGGGAAGGTTTCAGAATAGACCTGACAATGAGCCCGGGGCGCAAGGTCAGGGCGCGAGGCGCGAGGTCGCGAAGTCGCGAGGTGAGGGCGCAAGGGCGCCACGCGAGGTCGCGAGGTGAGGACGCGACCAGATGAGGGCGCGAGGTGCGTGAGCTGAAGGCGCGCGGGATACGAGGGAGATCTCGAGGAAATGTGCGAGGTGCGCGAGTCCGCGATGTGGGCGAGGCCGCGAGGTCACGAAGCGAGGCGCAGCCAGGGCAGTCCTTTGAGGTCCGTTCAGGTTCTGGTTTTCGGGCCGCTTTTGGTTTTCGGGTTTTGTATCTAGTAGTGATAAGTTAACAAGTACCAAGATCTGCGCGTGCTTGCAATATCACCCCGACATACACTTAGATACAGGCTCCAGACGACTACGATGATTATGGCCATGCTCATGGCTCGAACTGGACTCTTAGGGTTTATTTGACAGGCAGGGAGGAGGGGACTATAGAGTTTTTGAAACAGGGAGCAAACCGATCGAAAGGGATTAGAGTATTTGATGTTTGAGACACAGTGAGCAAGCCCCTCGAAAGGGACTTGTGTGTTTGAGAAACAAGGAGCAAACCGCTCGAAAATGATTGGAATATTGGAAAAAGAGGGAGCCGCCCGAAAGGGACTGCTTTAATTTGAGGCACAGGGATCAATCCGCTCGCAAGGCACGAAGCACGGAGCAGGCCGCTCGAACAGGAAGAAAGCACATGAGAAACAAGGAGCCAATCGCCCGAAAGAGAATAAGGTATTTGAGAAACAGAGAGCAAGCCGAACAACAGGACTAGAGTTTACGGCAAGCAGGGAGCAAACCGCTCGAGTATATGAGAAACAAGGGGCAAACCGCTCGAAAGGGGCTCGGCTAGAGTATTCGACAAGCAGTGAGCGAACTGCTCGAAAGGGACAGGAGTATTTGAGAAACAATGAGAACAACGCTCGAAAGGGATTAGACAGTTTGAGAAACGACGAGCAGACCGATCGAAAGCTACTGAGTATGGAGGAACAAGAAGCAAACCGCCCGAAAGGGACTGCAGTAACTGATAAACAGGGATCAACCGCTGGCAAGGGACTAGATTATATCCGCCCGAAAAGACTGCAGTAATTGAAGAACAAGGAGCAAGCCGCCCGAAAGGGGCTAGAGTGTTTGAAAAACCATTCGAAAGGGACTAGAGTATTTGAGAAACAAGGAGCAAACCGCTCGAAAGGGACTAGGGTATCTGAGAAACGGGGGGGAACCGCGCGAAAGGGGCTAGAGCATTTGAGAAAGAACCAGCAAACCGCTCAACCAGGACTGTGGTGTTTGATAAACAGGGAGCAGACCGCTCGAAAGAGACTAGAGTCTTCGTGAAGACAATGAGCAAATCGCTCGAAGGGCACTAAAATATTCGACAAACAATGAGCAAACCTCTCGAAAGCGACTAGAATACGTGAGAAACCAAGACAAAAGCCGACCGCCCGGAAGGGACTGCAGTCATTGAGAAACAAGGTGTATTTGAGAAACAGGCAGCAGACCGCTCAAAAGAGTTGGAGTATTTGAGAAACGGGGAGCAAATCGTTCGAAGAGGGATTCGCGTGTTTGAGACACACCGAACGATTCGCTCGAAAGGGACTAGAGTACTGGAGGGACAGCGAGCAACCCCTTCGAAAGCAACACAGAGCATCCCGCTCGAAAGGGCCTAGAGTATTTGAGAAACAGGGGCAAACTTTTCGAGCGGTTTACTCTCTGTTTCTTAAATACTCCAGTCCTTTTCGATCGGTTTGCTCACTGTTTCTCCAATACTGTTGTCCGTTTCGATCGATTTGCCCTGTGTTTCTCATATACCTTTGTCCTGTTCGAGCAAGGTTGTTCCGTGTTTCTCAATACTTTAATCCTTTCGAGCGGTTTGCCCCCTGCTTCTCAAATCCTCTCGTCCCTTCCGAGCGGTTTGCTTGTTGTTTCTCAAACACTCTACCCTCTTTCTCTCAAATACTGTAGTCCGTTTCGAGCGTTTTGCTGTTTGCTTCTCAAGCCTCAAGCATTTTAATCTTTTGCAGGCAGTGTGCTCCCTGTTTCTCAAATACTCTAGGCCCTTTTTCTCAAATACTGTTGTCACTTTTCGAACGGTTTGCTCCCTGTTCTCAAAAACTTCTAGTCCCGTTTCGAGTGGTTTGCTCCTTGCTACTCACATACTCCAGTCGCTTTCGAGCGGTTTGCTATTTGTTTCTCAATCACTTTTGTTTTTTGCCAGCGGTCTGCGAGGTCGTGAGGCCACGAGGTTCTAAGGCCGCGCGAGGTCAGGTCGTGAGGCCTCGTGGCCGCGACGAGGGCAAGAGAGGTTACGTTGTGAGGGCCGCCTGGCCGTGAGGTCAGGTCGTCAAGCCGCGAGGTGGCGAGGTTAGGCCGCGAGGTTGAGGTTGTAAGGCTTGTAAGGGTACCCAATCCCGGAATCCCATTGTTAGGTCAGATCTCGATCATTTTCCAGGTCCCAAACGGGAAATCATGAGGCCAACGTAAGACCTGAATATAGATTGCAGGGGTTTCTTCTACTTATCGCTGAAAGAGCACTAAGGTCATCTGCGATTGGCACATCCCTGATGGTGATTGCGATGATGCTTGGGTGCTCTAATGTTTCGGTGGTTTTGGGCTTTGGGATGTAGGGTTTAAGATGTGGCGTGTTCCTGCATTGCAACCGCATCATAGGGCAGAGGTAAATTGAGGGGCATGCTTCTAAGACTGTGCAAACGCGACGGATACACTCCCTCTTTTAACCTGTAATAAGAATGATCACAGGATCGTAAGATTACCGCGCTTAGAGAAACGTTGTCATTATTCGCGGGTCTACATTACGGTTGGCTTTCGGGACGCGAAATACCAAGGAAGTGTCTCGCGGGCTACATTGGTCATGCCAGCCACGTGGCCATCGATGTGAAACTGACGTTGATCGTCTCTGCAAGCGCCGTTCTCGGAAGCTTCTTGGGAGGCTATCTGACTGAGTTCCTGGCGCCGAGCGTCTTGCGTAAGTCCTTTGCGATTTTCGTGCTGACTATCGGCTGCCTGCAGCTGTGGAAGGAATCCAGTAGCCTGGTCCACTAACCCGGCACCCTAAACCCTACCGCTTGAGCCCAACCCTAAACCTGAGCTCAACACAACCTGAACGGCTGTGAAGATGCCAAATATGCCTGGAGGTGCTCAAGGATTGTCGATGGTCCAAAGGGTTAGGGCTTTGGGTCCAGGCCTGAATAATGGTGTGAATATTTGGCGCTTGTATTTTTCTTGTGTCGAAAGCCCTCTAAAACCCTGACGTAGTTCTTAGGGCTCACTAGAGAACTCCATTTGAGATGCTGATCTCTTGCTTCTTTGCTCGTCTCTAAAATGGCAGGTGCTGTGTCTTCTGCTGTCAGTCATTGATTATGAATTCAATGAAGTATTTGTGAAGAACCTGAACTGCTGATTTTTGTCATTGAGTGCTATCACTACTATCTATGATTACAACGACGATTGCAGCGATCATTCTTGGTGTTACTGTAGGCAGGCGTATATTCCAAGATCGTGTATTTGTTCGTCTGGTCAAATCTGCTGGCGACTTGGTGAACATGGTGATGATGACGATGACGATGATGGTGGTGATGATGATGACAATGATGACGATGATTGTGACGACGTCGATGGTGATGCTGATGATGATGATGATGATGATGATGATGGTGATGGTGATGGTGGTCATGATGATGGTAGTGATGGTGATGCTGATGATGAGGACCAACATCATGACCATGATGATGATGGTGATGATGGTTCTGGTGATGGTGGTGGCGATGGAGGTGGTGGTGAAGCTGGTGATGGTGGTGACGATTGAGGTGGTGGTGATGGTGGCGATGAAGGTGGTGGTGATGGCGATGGTGTCGATGATGGTGTTGCTGTTGCTAGTGCTGGGGACGTTGTTCGTGACGATGGAGAGACATGTTATCGCATTATTTATCGAGTTTCGTCTCTTCACCATCAGGACTGTTATCCTGGTTGTTGCAAATAAGTCCTCGGTGGCTTTTCATACTCCAGGCATTCCAGGCCCCAGTTGCTTGGCTTGTGCGCATTGCCAAGCATCTTGCGCACAAGGCCTCGCACTTGAAGCTCTGACTTCATAGTGGCTTTGCCATGCGCTCCTGGAAAAACACATTCAGCAGTAGATAACTCCGAACCTGAGCTACTTTCGGGCACTCGGTAGTTTCAAGCAAGCAGACAGCAGGTGACTGAGTGAGCGCCTGACGAACCAAAGAATAATTTCCGTGAATCAAGGGGTGGATAAAAACACCTCTGGCTCGCTGGTTTCGATCCCTCGGCCTCCCGCCCCAAGATTCAACTGAACCCCGAAGTCTGTAACTTTCTACTTAAAGGATCATGGGACTTAGTAAGTAGGGTTATAATTAGGGTAACTATACTTATAAGCCCAATTAAGGGACTTATAACTTTACTTACTAAGTCCCATGGCGCAGGACTCGGGGTTGAGGCTTGGGATCTGCTCTTTAGGCGAGGTAGCGGGTGGGGTTGTTCTCTGCACCATGACCCCCAAAAAGGGTTCCGGCAAGGGTCAGGGCATTTTGGTGTTTAAAGGAACCGAGGACGGTAAGGAGGCTGATAAATACCTTAGTTAGGGTTGTAAGTTATAAGTCCGAAACCCTAAGCCTAACCCCACAACTTCAAATCCAACGGTGTTCTGGGGTTTAAGGCTTTAGGTGTTGGGGCTATTGGGGGTTGGGTATAGAGTTTCAGTGTTTAGGTGTTGGGGCTGTTGGGGCTTGGGAATCGTGTGATATCGTGTTTCGGTTTGAGGTTTGAAGTAAATCATGTTGATCTGCAGAGCCCGAAGCTCTTGAGCCTCCGTATCGAGCCTTTCTGCACCCAAAGATTAGCCTGGAAGCCCCAAAGCCCCAAAACCCCAAAAGCCCTAAAGCTCAGAAGAGGTCCCAAATCCTAAACCCTCAACCCTGAACCCTAAATCCTAAGCCCTCAAACCTAAACCCTCGATGCTCCACAGACCCAAAGACCCTAGAGAAGCCCTGAACAACCAAAAAAAGACTCCGGCAGGCGGCCGGCCGGAGCCCAAGGGAGCGGTAAAAGAAGAACTAGAATAAGGTTTCGGGTGGTATAGTATTTTTATAAGTATAATAAACGAAAGCCCCAAAATAGTATGTGTACTTATTTAGCGTGGTTTCGGGTTTCCGGCGTTGGGGGGTTCAGAGTTTTGGGGGAGTGGCTTCAGGGGTTTCGGAGTTCAGAGCTTCGAGGTTGAGGGTTTAGGGGAGCAAATTCGTGCTTGCTCTTTGTATGTTAGCCTTTTTGGCTCTTTGTGCGTGCGTTACAACTATGTCAGTCTCATGTCCGGCATCGCTTTCACAGTTGAGGGTGGCTGTACTTTCCGGTGTTTGGGCTCAGGCTGATAAGCCCCAGCGTTTAGGGGCGAAACATGTCTCAGCGCATAGCGCATCTTTCCATTTCATAAGAAAAAGTACTTAGGGTTTAGGGTTTAGGGTTTAGGGTTTTGTACAGTCCCACAGAACATTATAAAGCCTTCGAACCCCCCTACGAGGGGATATTCTTGCTTTGCAAGGCCCTATGAGCATCCTTATAAGTCAAAACGTGAATACCACAGGCAATCAAAAGTCGTTAGAGAAGCCCTGTGAACGAATCAAAAAAATACCCCCAGATCCCCTTCCATTATATATATATATATATATACACCCTGGCCCTAAACCCTAAACTCTATCTATATCTATATCTATATCTATATCTATATCTATATCTATATCTATATCTATATATATATATATATGTATGTATGCATATATATATATATATATAATTAATTATTTATAGTAGTATTGTTTATATTATATATATATATAGTAATCTTGTTACTATAGTATTATATAAGGCTGGCCTGGTGCTTTCATGCCACCGGCAGGTGCAGAGTCTTTGGCTTGAAGCTTCAGGGTTTCTGATCTTATAGGGCGAAAAAAGGGCTATGAGGGCCTGACGGGGTTTCAGGTTTGGAAGTTTGGTTTGGGTCGTGAGGTTTTGGATTTTGCTCTTCTGTTTTTGGATACGGCTTGGGTGTTTTGGATTAGGTGTTAAGGTGTGTTTCAGTGAGTGTTTTGTGGCTTAGGTTGTTGGTTGAGGTGTTTGGGGTGTTGGTGTAGGATTTCGGCCTTGGGCTTTGGGGCTGGGCTCGTTTGATGTTCTGAAGTTTTCATATGCGGGCCTTAACAAGTAGAATGGGGCTCTGACATGTCAACGGCTTTGACACGATCGAGTTCAATTTCGCATGGGCTCAGTGATGCGACTCTATCGAAATTGCCATTCTCGACCTTGGGCGCACCTGCGCGAAGACAGCTTGCGGGACATGTGGAGCTGTTCAGTGCCACACCAATCATCATCCCCTGTGAAAGCTTGTGGAGCCGCTATCATGGCTTAAGACAACCCCTGATTAGCAAACCCCCCTCCTTGCATACGGGCTACAATAGCGATTGCAATGCTACTTGGATCAGGCCATGCCAGAGAGCAATTGGAGGTCTACAGTGTTGTTGTACACCCTTCGCAACAACCTTACAGAACCCTGCAAACCTTACCACAACCTTCGGATACGACCCCGTAGCAAGCTGCATTCTCAAAGCCCCTGAAGTATAACCATGCTCGTCTTTGGGGTTTAGGACCGTATCCTGAGCCCTGAAACGTGAAGCCCCAGTATTGGACAAAGCATGCGGCGAACACGGACGATTGCAGCAGCCCGCTTCGACTCAAGGACTGATCAGCTTGGGCAGATGAGCCAAAAGCCACCACTCAACGCGTCCAAAAGCTTCGGAAGTCTGCAGACCTGACGCGAAAGCATTGCTAGCACCAAAATCCCAGAAGGTGCTCTCCTCATGAACCTGCCTCGCACCAGAGAAGCCCAACGCTTACGGAACCCTTATAACACCATTATACACTAAACCCTAAATCCTACCAATCTTGGCTGACCGGTTTGCCCAATCCTGGCTGACGGGTTTGGTCGTTTCAAAATGGCGCCAGCGCCTTCCAACGACGACTTTACACAAAGCTGGGACAGCTTTGGTTGCTTCAAAATGGCGCCAGCACCTCCCAACAACGATTTTACCCCAATCCTGGCTGACAGGTTTGGTTGTTGCAAAATAGTGTCAGCACCTCCCAACAGCGACTTTACCCCAATGCTGGGACAGGTTCGGTTGCTTCAGGATGGCGCTAACACCTCCCAACAACGACTTTATCCCAATTTTGTCAAAACCCAAAAACGACATTACCCCAATCATGGCTGACAGGTTCGGTTGCTTCGAAAGTGGCGCCAGCACCTCCCAACAACGACTTTGCCCCAATCTTGGCTGACACGCCCTAAACCGTCCGTCTTCAATCCATACAGAAACTGGTATAGGACCCGTCATCGAGCCCCTAAACCCTAAACCTTAAACAAGCAGCTGCCCGTAGCCTCCGCCAAACTGGCATTCGACCTAACTTAACCAGGCAGGTGGAAAAGAGGTGACAAAAAAAAAGAACCTTAAACAAGCGTTTTCGAAGCCTTTAATGAATCTGGCAGGTATGCCTCCCATGATGCCTCCTCCCTGGGATCCATCCTCAGATTTGGGTTTATGGGCTTTAGGGTTTATGGGTGGCTTTGGTTTTTTTGGTTCATGGGCTCAAGGTTATGAGAAATTGGGAATTTGGGTTTGCTGGACCCGCCCGAAGCTGGGGGGGTTAGGGTGTAACACAGGGCTTGGGTTAGGCTTTTCATATAGGCCCCAAACCCTATTCTAACGATTGGGCCCCTATATCAACACTTATATTCATTCGCATACAGCCCTTGAAACGTGCAGAAACCCTATTCTCTTTGTCAAGATGTGCTGCCAAAATTCAGCATTATAGCAAGCATAGGCTAACCCCACACCTCACATCCTATACCCCCCCCTACGCTTTCAACCCATTTTTCAAACCGCCTAACATTTCAACCCTTAAATCCCTGAAAACACAAAGCACCTCCCAACAATCTATACAACAATCCCGAAGCAAAGCAACCTACCAACCCCAAACAA